TTGTTTTGTGGGTAACTAATTGGCAAACATTCAGAACTTGCAGTCTTTTATGGTCCCTCTTAAACTTATTAAACAAAGCCTTCAACTTCTAGTGAAGGTGAAAGGTGTTGCCCCAGGTATTTTGGAGGTGTGTGAAAAGGCTGCTTTGCTGTGAGGTGGTGGGTTCCCAACACCTTTGAAGTATTTCTGAGAGTTTAAAAGCAAACTTCAGAAAGCCAGAAAACTTCACTGCGGCCAAGAGTTTGGAAGACAGATTTTTTCCTGTTCTGTTTCCTCTGAGGCCCCCTGGCCCTTGGGTTGCAGGGCTGGGTGCCTGCAAAAACCCAAATACCTGATTATATGGGTGAATTCAAGGTGTAGAATATAAAGTTTATGTGAGGGTGTTGAGGCGCTGGCACAAGTTGCCCAGCGTGGTTGTGAACTCCCTATCCTTGGAAGTGTTCAAGGCCAGGTTGGATAGGACTTGAAGCAACCTGGGATAGTGGAAGGTGTCCCTGCCCATGGCAGGAAGTTGAAATGAGATTATTTGTAAGGTCTCTTCCAACCAAAACTATTAAAAAAAAAAAAAAAAGAAAAAAAAAACAAAAACAGAATGAGCACTAAAATGGAATGTTCTCTTTTGACACAACTGACTCTGTGCCTCAGTTTCTCACACCATTGATGTGCAGTGATATTGCATCCCCAGTCTCATGTCTTGAGTCTTGAATGCATTTAATTTTTTTAAATTTCATTGTATGTTTTGTGTGGAAAACTGAAGTGATGGCTCATGTTTTCCATCCAATGTGCAACCAGATCTCTGTAAAGCTCTGTAAGGAAAAATGGGCATTAATTCTCATAGTATTTTGGGTATGTTTGGAAGTATTGCTGAGTGTAAAAATAGCATGGAGTATGTAAGTAATGGTAGAGGACATTCGTGTGCTGTGATCACACATGGTGAATTGGCACAGGGATGAGATTGCTGCTTTAGTAGCATCCTAAAGCATTACTTGAGCAGTGAAGGTTTGGTGTATGGCCTGACCTCCACAGGGCACTTGTTTGTCCCTTGTTCCTTAAGGAAAAGTTGTTTTTTTTAATCTGGATTGGGTGCTAGGAAAGGTTCCTATCTTCTGCAAAACAAGAATTGCCCTGGGCTCCATTTATGCATGCTACAAAAACCAGGACTTATGACTGAGACCCGTGCCTCTGATTAGGCTGACTTCCCTGTGCTCCATGTTTTCTCTCCGAAGCAGGAATGCCGTGCTGGGGAACCTGCTGTGCTGTGATAATGTGTGCATTCCCTGAGGCTCTACTTTCAGCCTCTTCTGAGAATTAACCATGTAAAATCTATACTCTGCCTGATTGTACTGGTGATTGTGGGTCCCAACTTACTTTCCAGCTTTCTTCCCAACTCTACCCATGGTCTACATACTATGTGGAAATGGATTAACTGAACTTCTTGAGTGCCTTGGGCCGAATGGCAGCCCTGGGCTCTGTTGCAGCATGTGGTGCTTACAAAACCAGGCTGAATGTTACCTGAACTGTAGCTGTCCCGCCAGACAATTAAAGGACTGTTAAAATGTATGGTACTTTTACATATATATATATTTATGTGTGTGCATAAATAAAAAGAGGGATGAAGATCTGTTCAGGGGAGTTTACACCTCCTCTTTCAGCTGCAGCACAGCAAGTCAGTCCGTCTTCCTCATTTTTTTCGTTCAGAAATTCTATTTTGCCATTGAATTTCTTGAGTTAAAAACTGACTATTTTTCTCTCAGGAGTTTAGGATTCAATAAATTGATTTTTTTACTTTTATGTTCATGAGAAATCTTTCTAGCTGGAAATGCCCTTTTGGTTCCATTAGAGGTCTCTTTCTGGTATCTCCTTTTACTTTAATCCTGGTTGCTTCATGCTCGTGTTTCTCACACAAGTTTGAATAGAAGACATTCTTCATGGGGAGATGCAGATAAACACAGTGATTTTTGGACATATTTTCTCTGCTGCATTCTCAGCCTTCATTTTTCTGATCATTTACCATTAATAGCTCCTTGCTTAAAAATATCTGTGGCTTTTCTCAAAGTGATGCTAGCTCCTGAAAGAAAAGGTCTTCTGCAAGTCTAATTTTGACTTGCTAAAAATTTAGCAAAGTTCGATCAGTATTTCTACCAAGTGATAGCAAATGCTCTAATAAGTAACAATTGGAGGAGCAGTCAGTGAACTGCTCATGGTGATGGAGGCCAAACTTGGACACTTTTCAGATTTAGAAATGTTTGTGTCCAGCAACAACAGAGTGTTGGAGCCCCGTGTTGTGAGCTTGGTTAAGAAAATCAAATTACCTGAGCAGGAGGTAAAACAAATCCTGCTACAGTTAAGGGTTGAAAATTTATTTTTATTTTTTTTGGTTGTTTTTGGTTTTTTTTTTTTTTTTTTTTTTTTCACTCTTATCATCTTTGTCCTTCTGGTTTCTGCTGATGGCTGGAGCTGTGGGGCCGGCTCTTTGACTAATGGTTGAGTGAGTAATTTTTCCCATTAAATTAATGTAGATATTAAAGGATACAGGGAGAAGATTGGCCTCTTGGGAAAGGAAGCAGCTTGGTAGCAAGGCATGGCCATTCCTTTCTGTTGTCAGGATGAGAATGGATAGATGTCTGCTATAGGCCCCGGATAGAAACTCTCCTCTGGCGAGAGACACTTGTGTCCTCCCAAATTGACTGCCATGTTCAGGCTGCTTTTACAAAGCATTTAGCAGAGCAGTCAGCACTTTTGTACAGCATTCATGTAAGGAACCCTTCAAACCCAAAGAAAGGCTCGTGTGTCCAAAAGTTTCCTTGATTTTTATTTCCCCCCCTTGAACCAAACCAGTTGATCTCAAGAAAGATATGGGTTCGTTTCATAAGCCTTGTCTTGCTTATAAAAACAAGACAAGAGGAGTCTCCATGCTCCAAAGAAAGCTTAAAAGAAGATTAATTAATTAATTAAGAATCTTTTCTTCTGAGTGCAACAGGCTCCAAGTAACAAGTGAACTTTTCATTTCCAGTAATAGCAGAAATTACTTCAATAGCATGATTGTGAGCACCCGTGGGGCCATAATGTGAATGGTCTTTATTAAGGAATAGGCTGAACTTCTGACTATCTTTCTTCCAGTCATTTCCACAGGCTATAAACAGCGCCTGGTTTGTTGCTATTAAAAGAGTCTACAGACAGGGATGCTGAAAAGCATTACTGTTTAAGTACTCATGGCCTGACATTAACATGAAAAATATTTTCTCGAACATACAGTGAATTTGGGTTCTCCAGAACATTATAGTTTTGTTCAGAAATGATTGCGTTGAGTATTTGTGAAACGAGGGAGATTTTATTTGGTTTTGTTGTGGTTTTCGTTTTAATTACTGGTCACTACCCCTCTGTTTTGCTTGATTTTTCAGACACGTGTGAAGTCAAAAAACATCTTGGGGCCAATTTTTATGTTTTCTTGGTGTTATTTTTCCATCTCTGTTAGTACCTGATGAAAGAGCCTGGTCTTAGTTAACGATCAGGCCTCGTTATATGTTTGTTCCCGTAAAGGACCACTCTGAGGAGTGACCTTTCCTCAATAACATGGTATTTTGCACGACTGTGCTGAGTAAAAACTGAGGCAATCCATGATCTGCCGAGGTGATATTGAAGACATATCTCTCACGCACAGCAGACCTATGCATTAATCCTATGTTTTGGGGTCTTTAATTGCTTTAAATATTTGCTTCTAGATCTGTGTTTCACACATCTTATTTACATGGTTTATTTTTCATTTTATGAACAAATCGATAACCAGACAGACTCTTTACCACACTGGATTAGTTTTATTTATTCTCTTTGAACTTGATTAAAAAGCTGTCAAACATAAGTCTACATTTTATCAGCAGAATACTTTTACAAAACAGGGTAGGAGATGTGTATAGCTGGAAACATATATTTCAAAATGAAACAATATTTGATATATTCTAGACAGTTACCCTTTTGTTTATCCATGACAACTGAAACTAACCATCAAATGCATAAATTGATTCAAGTCTAGCCAAGTAATCCTAAGGGCATATGAAAAGGCTTTTTTTTAAAGTTCTTTCTAGATGAATTTAATGTAGTTCACCAATAAAGCATCCTCAGGAGCACAATACAAATGCTACAGAACATGAGATAGCTGGGGAAAGCGGGCAGATGTACAGTGTGATGAAGAATCAAAATGGATGTTACATTAAAATGAGCAGTCATGCAATGTCTTCATTTCATGTACTGCATTTAAGTAAAAATGCCAAAGTTCCAATTCCATTTTTAATTTCTTTTAGGCACTGTTATGCAAATAGTGACATTCTCATCTTGTTTGTGTTTGTTTATTTTATTTGTTTTAAAGCATTGCATGTAATTTTTTTTCCAACTCTTGGGGTAGACAAATTGATTATTCATCATGCCTTTAATTTTCAACATATATCAAAGAGAAAGGTAAATTATACTCAGATTAGCTGTGAATGATCTGATATCACTGCTTTAATTCATTGCTTTTAATATACATATTTTAATCCGTTTTCCACAAACCTCCTCAATTATTATTTGTCTTTCTGTGCCATTGCATATGTTGGTAAACAGCATTTTCTATGGTCTTGGGCCATATGCTGTATGCTCAGCTTGCAGAAAAAGTGACACTTGGAGTGCTAGCATAATGAAACTCTCAAAGGGTTAATGCAGAATACATATAGGCAAATGTTGACAATATTTTTTATTCCAATGTTTGAAAATTAGACACAAAATCATCATTAAGTTTGCACAAAATGAGGCATCTGTCACTTGAAAGAAAAAGAAATATTTCAGAAATATGTTTACAGAAATGTAAAAATATTAGACATCAAGACAGATGTGAACGTTTTCAATAACAGGCCCTGTCTGTCAGTCTTCCTCCGAGCCGAAGATCTTGCTGTACTCACTCAACATAAGTTCAACTATCTGATTTTGGTACAGCATGTGGACTGCCATGTTCCCTGTCTCCTTTTCAGGTCTAAGGAGTGTTGGTCCAAACACAATTCCTAAGCTTTGTGTTGACATAAGATTCACGGATTCCTTGGCTGCTATCCTGTTGACGAAAGGAAAGAATTGGTTAAAAAAAAAGGATGTCAGAGGAGTCACTGTTGCTCTTGAAGTACGTAGAGGCACTTTTTAACTGATTCTCCTAGCAGGGATGTTTGTTTGGTTAACTTATCAAAAAGAAAGAAAACGGGGAGGCAAGAGAAAGTTCTACCAATGTGGCAAATAAGGGAAGGAGAGTCATTGTGGTGCCAGGGAGAAGATTCCCTGCTTCCCTTAACGTGGTCTCCAGCACTGAAAGAGTTGTGGAAACCAAAAGAAAGCCCCTTAATATAGAGCTCATATGAAACACATTCCTTCTGCTAATTTAAATCCAATAAAGTGAGTATGGTCTGAAATGGATTGTGAAATTTATGTAACTAAAGACTTTTGCATGCCTTATCCTGACACAAAGTTTCTTGGAAGACACAGAGACCACATACCTTAATGAGATGACTTAGAAAATAATGGTAAGGATTATTAACCTTTGATATCTTTATTACCCACAAAATTACAAGAGAAGGACTATTATTATTAAAAGTTGATCTTGTGTCTGTATTAAGACTTAATATTCCTGTGGAAATGGCATTAAGGATGGAGAAGTCTGGTCTAAGAACAGTACGGGTTTAATGGATGGAGTTTAGATAGGTAGTTTCACATAAATCTGTGCAGTGGTGAGTACAAACTAAGTAGAAATCCATTTGCCTCAACCCTCCAGAATACATAATGTATCCTAGGTTGGAAAGACTAGTAAATGAAGATACACATTGTATAAATAAATTGCACAGCTCTACCAAGGAATGAGAATGAAGTGTGACTTTAATATGTAAATGTTTTAATTTATGGATGCTTCCTTAACCTGCTAGTTTCAACTTAAATATTCCAAGTGGATTGTTGAAGCCAAGTGCTGCTTTTCCCCCCTCCTCTCCCATTGTCACTCATTCACCTTTTTATATTCCGGGCAGCAATTTAAATACCATCACAACCTGTCTCTGTTTTCCCATACCTGTTGCTGATTTTACAGCAAGCTACACTATAAGGGAAAGAAACTTCATGACACATAATGGCTTCAGGCACTTAAAAAAGGGTTCATGTTACTGGGTGGGTCATATAGCAAAAAGCATCGTCTTGTGGATTTGTGCCAATCTTGTCGTTCACCACGTTCCTTGAGCATCAACACTCATGTTTTTTTCCTGTATATAAATAGGAAGAATTACTTAGTTCTGCTTCATGCTAGTAACCGTGGTGCCCATTGCACAAAACACTCTCCATATGGCACTAATCAGATTGGCTTAACTATTAGTTTCTTAAAATATAGCATCTTCATTAAATTTTTAAAAAATTAATTATCTCTGTAGTAATATTAATATATCATCTCTTCTCTTAGGAGTTCAAAAAGTCTAAAAAGTTAGTAGTTTTGTTGCCAAATGACTGTGTGGGCTTCTGATGGATGTCACACATCTTTATCACAATTAAAAATGTTGCAGAGGTGACAAGGTTTTTTAGCTTGATGCCACTTAATGCAGAAGCACGTACATCAAGCTTGGGACCTCTCTGTGACAAAGACTTGATTTCTGTTGAGTTTGTTACATAGTAAAAGTTGGAAACCTCATAAAGTAGTTAGTGATGACATCAGGATGGGGAGATGTGTGTTCACCAGGGGAAAATAATTCAGCAGTTGTATCTTGTGTCACTTTGGAGATCATCAATTTAGCATCATTGCAATGAGTGGGTGTTGATAATGGGCAGCAGTGATGGAGCTGGAGGAGAAGCACCTTGCAGGGAGAAGGAGGCAGTGGACCATGGATGAGAAGAGTCAGGGGAAAGAAAGGAGGTGGAGGAGCTGTTTACTGAAGGAACGGGAGGGGACTGACTTCCTTTGTCTGCTAAATGTGGAGCAGGATGTTGGGACTCTGCGTTCCCCATGCGGACACAGAAAATAGAAGATTCATGGCTAACCCTCCTATCTTTGTTTGCCATCATCTTGAAGGAGAATAATTTTCCTTGTTTCTCCCAGAGATTCCATCCCTCGCATCAAATCCTGGTAAAGTCCAGGTGTTGCCAACTTTTCTCAGCAATCGGGAGGTGAGGGTATGGCATGAAGCAATGGAGGACGTGCATGGTGTGTGATGGTGATGGAGAGGATGGCTATCTGTGGTGGTTCATCAGTATGTGATGTGGCACTAAGAATATTTGCATAGATTTGGGGTGTCTATAGCTTAACACCGGAATAAGAATTATTTTATTGAGAAAATTTCTTGAAAAATCTTGATGTATTCATGCAATTTTACTTGTTTTGATGACCATAATAAGCAAACTTAGAGACAAATAGTTAAATAATTTGTGATGAAATACAGCTACTGGAGGGAAAGAAGGAAGGAATTCAATCCAGCCTGAACAAAATAATTATAAGTTTGGGAACTTACGTCTTTTTGAGTTACAAATATTTACCAGTGAAATTCTATAACTAATATTTTTTTTCATCTGTTCACAAAAGAAGAAGTCAAAGCAAATCAGTATCAAATATACACACTTAAAGCTATTACTATAGCTGCTAAATGAAATTGAGTTGTTAAAAGAGAAAATCCTGAAAAAATGGGCAAGAATTCCTTTTTTGGCAAGAAAAAGAGCAGAAAGAGTGATACACCATTTTCAACATAAAAAGTGAAAGGAAATGCCAGAGGTATTTTTTGTCAAGCCCATATGAAAGGAGCAATGATCCATCAATTTAAGATTATTTTAGAAACAATCCATAATCCAGTACCACAGATGTTGGAATCATATCAAGAAATTGTTGGGCGTTATGCTGCACAAGATTATTTTTTTTCCCCAAAATAATTGAGCTTCAAGAAATGGCTTCAGTCCTTAAAGATCACAAGTCAGAAGGTATGCAGCAAATACAGTTCTCATTATTAATAGTAATGAAATTAATGATGTATTAAAACAGAAGAAGTGTCTGAAAGGAGGGTTCTAGTGTCAATGGCAGATATATAAGGAAAAATACTTGAAATTTATGCTTTGGCTGTTGCCAAGGCAACTGCAAGCTGGAAAGCGTGTGATGGAGAACAGGGCAACTCTACAGCTAAGAGGGTCATTGTATGGTGAGTTGGCTCTCTAGTTCCATTAAACTGACACTTTTCAAACTCTCTAAATAAAATCATTATTAATTTTGACATTTGGAAGGCACACTGGATTATTGCTTCAAACACACTGGGTGTTAGGAAATGTTCTTCATCTATTTTTACTCCACAGTAACTGCTATATAACTACTGTACATAAAAAATGGAGAAGTCAGTGTACTTAGGGAGGAAATCCCCATTGGAAAGGGCACTGTTTTATTTTAGGCTGGAGAGTGTTGGAGAGTAGAGCTGTCCTCTGCCAGCTGCATTGAGAACTGCTCAGTTTTGCTTTCTTGGCCTTTTCCAGCCTGTGAGGATTTAGTTTTACTCAATGTCAGGGGCATGTCTACCCTCAGCAGAAGTGGTTTCATCCATGCCTAATACTCTTCCACTGTTTTAAATTATATTTAAGGGTAACTTTTCAACAAGACAATCCTACTACTCTTCCATGAACTGGTAGTATAGATTATGACTGAAGGACAACATACTGAAAAACAAGGGATCAGAAGAGTAAGAATGGGTCTCTTGGTATAATATTATGGCCCAGAGTGGCAGGTGTAGGAAATGCCATCTTCTGAATTCAGTGGAGGACAGAAGGATAAAAGTAAGTTTTGATCTTATCAGAATCCTGTCTGCCAGCATTATGCACAATATTTGAGTTCCTTAGGGAAGTATCTGCCATTAGAGACAAAAACCAAGACTTAAATAGAGTTCAAGAGACATTAAAGATAAATGGAAATAAAGAAAACTCTCTGGAAAGGAGAAAAAAAGATATGTTCATGTCATCCGCCCTCTTCGTATAGCAACCAACCTTATAGAATTAGGAGCCAATTCCCCTGTGAGTGGGTTATTCCAGGACAGCCCCTTTGGGAGTGTTTTGTGCCTCTGCTGAACTGTGCTAGTGACCACTGTCATGGCCAGAGCTGCTCATCCCGATGGATGACAGGAATGATTTGATATGTGAGTTCCTATGAGCTGCCTTAATAGGTCAAAGTCTGCGCATCCCATTGATTCACTTTGCCAATAATTATCCTCAAATTAGACAATATCTGTTTCCTATCTATACTCAGGCATATGCAAATGTAATGTTTTAGCTTAAGGACTTGGCCCTGGGAAGGGCTCAGCTGCCTTCAGCTCTCCCCAACAATAATTCTGCTAACAGGGCTTTTCACTGCACTGTTACAGGCCAGTTTTTATGCAGCAGTTTTCTGACTTTTGCTATTGCAGAGCTCCCAATCAATTTGAACGTGTTAAAATTTGTCTCTTATGATGAACAGTTTCCAGCTCAACATTTCACCCTCCTCTCCCTCCCAAATGCTGGTTCACAGGAGTTAAAAAATAACAGGTATTACATACTTTGCTTTAGTGACAAGACATTTGGGAAGGAATCATCCAACCTTGAAATAAAATCTTTATTGAAAGCAATTCTACATCCATGCCCGTCAGATACATTGTATGATCAGAGGAGGTGTCCCAGGGGAAAGCTCAGCGCCGTAGACAGGGTTGATTACTTGGACCTCCTGTCAGTTCTTAACTCATTGACAATGGCTTAGACACTCAGCACAACTTTGTTTTCTTTATTTGGAAGTAAAGTTAATATACTTACCTTAACTGTGCCAAATGTAGTGGAAAATAACCTGATAATAAAACGTACCGTCCTAGCAAGTGATAATGCCTGTGTGTGTATAAGCACATTTTGGCAGGGCTTTTGCAGATGGGTTTTTCAAGTGTTAGGAAGGAAGCATGAGTACAACATGATGCACAGATTATCAGGTTTTATGTCAGTGTACTTCCTTTCCATTTAAGGCCTGTTACATACTTTCCTGAGATACAAAATATCACCACAATGTCATTTTCTGTTGGAAATTTATTTCAGTTCAGCTACAGTAGTTGTTTTTTGGGAAGAACTTGAGTGGATTTTGGTGCTGAAAAGTGAGCTTTGAGAGTCCTCTTAAAGCACAATGATAGAGATCTTATAACAGGTCAAAACCTTGCAGAGATATTCATACCCAGCTGGATACACCAGCTTAGGAGAGAAATACACCCACTGTGAAGGAAGAGTGCCTGTACTCTACTTAACTCCACCTTGGGAAACTTATGGAAGTAATTGGTGGTTAGTGAGCCCCTGATACCACAAACTCTATTTGTGTCAACTGTTCAGTTCCTTGCACTGCTGCATAGACAAATTTAAAATTTAGTATTAACTTCAGATTCTTGATATTTTATGAATGCAAGCTAAACCTCATTACTACTTATGTCCTGGCTTTATAGGTGATTTGCTCAGTTGCATTACAGTGGTATTCACCAGCTGATGAAGCTCAGCAAATGCAAAGATCATCAGTTGAATCCTCAGCTTGTTGTTTGTGGGATCTCTGTTCTGTCTTAGGAGGGGGGAGCTTGGTGTGTGTATGTAACTGTGACCTGAGGTTTGTGCTTATGAAGGAGCTCCAAAACACTACAGTGTCTGTCCTTTTCAAAATGTGCCATGTGGTTTCCTCTGCAACAAATAAACACAATCCAGGGATCACAGTGGACTAATGCAGTTCTAAGCTACTTGTGTAAAACATGAAGGTATTTTAAATCCCTGTTTGTTCCATAGGTTGAATTCGAAACAATAGCTAGGCTGGTAATAGAGAAACCAGGTCATGGCGTATGATATGTTACAAGTGGGGTCAGAAATAGTTCAGACATACTTAAGAGCTTGCTTTTGCTGAAAATAGCCTCGATGGCTCCTGGCCTACAGAAACTCCATAGGCTTCCTGTGCTCTGCAGCTGTGGGTTCGTATTACAGCTCTTTGGGAAAAATCCCTTCTCTTCAGTTGCTCTGGGATACAAGAACGAGCACTTGATGCTGTCTTCTGCTGCAGACTAGCCTTTAAATCTGACCATTGGATGGCTATATATAGTACCTGGACAGCTGACAGGGCCCCGGTGGAGAATGGGCTTCCTCAGGGGATCCCCCGCATATCTCACAGCACGAGCCCTTCCCTGGATGAACTGCCTTGGAGTGCAGCCCTAAATGAAAATAATAACTAAACTAACTCCGAATATTGCTTCACAGTTGGCTGAATGGACTCTGAGAAGCTGAAGAAAGGCATTTATTCTGGCTTAGCCTGGTTTAATGAGAGAACAGTTAAAAATAAAGTGTTCTCAGCATTGGGTGAACTTTGCTATCTGTATGACGTCCCTGCAGAAGAGCACATGTGCTCTTGCCTTTGCACACACCTCACACAGTGCCTGTCTTGTAAAGAATGTCTTTATCTTCTGGGTGGCTGAGACCAGGAGGTAAAAACACATTTAGATATCTAAAGATACTCCAGTCTCTACTGGGGCTTTATTCAGGAATCTGCTTTGGAGAAGTCCTGCTAGTTCTTCTGCACAAGGGGAGGTGTACTGAGGAGCTGTGAGCAGGGTAACAGTATATCCGCACCTCAGCCTTGGGACTTTTTGTTTTTCTGGACATCTCCTGAGTTAGAGAAGGTTCAAAGACAGAGGGTGGACACTGGTCCATGGACAGCAATGTCTGGAGATCATCTCCAAATTGTGGTGGCTCTGCCGAAGACCCTCGTGTGGGCAAAAACTCAGGTCCCACTCCCCCAAACCATATTGTGTCAAAGAGATGGATTCAAAATCTTTCCAAAAAATCTTCCCTATGACAAAAATTCCAGGTCTTCCTTTTGGAAAACTGACCCAGATGGGTGACCCACTAAATTCTTCCGTTTACTGACAGCCAGCACTCTGCCCTCACAGTTTGGCTTGTGTTGTAATTTTTTGTGTGTGAATGCAAACTGGTTCTGACTAGTGTTCTTAAGAGGAAAGATCTGCCTAGTCCATGCTGCTATTGTGCCTGGAGTTTGCCTGTTTGGGCACAGCCTTTTGATAGGAGTCAGCTGAAGGCCATGAACTTCCTTAAGGAGCATCCTGGACTCCTCTGGCTGCAGCTCCATGCACAAGGCATTCATTTCTGCCTGTAGCAGCAAATATATCTCAAACAACAGTGAACCCCTCTTCAAAAGCCACACGAGCACTGTGAGCATGAGCCTTTCCTTGGGGAGGGGATGAGAGAGAACAAACCCCCCCGTGACAGATGTTGGGCAGATGCTAAGGCACTTCTTAGAGGAGTTTGGATAGTGGAGTGATAAAGGCAGTGTGAGACTACATAGAATAATATATGTTCAGACAGAGATACACCTCATAGAGGCCTTAAATGTATTTTTGGCTGGTGGTGTAACTTTTGCTGTGCTTGATATTTTTTTAAAATTTATTTTTTAATTTTATTTCTGATTATTTTTTTTTCTCCAGAACAACTAGCTTATTGTAAAGACCAACCTGTCAGAGGTCCTGGATCTGTATGCTTTTGTGGCCTGTGTGGTTCAGAAGGCAACAGATAGTTTTAAATAAATAAAGCTTTAACTTTTTAAATTGCTTAAATATTTTTGTTCAAAAATGCCTGAAGCCACATTTCCCTGTAACAGTAAAAATAAAAAGCAGTTAGTAACAATCTCGCTTAAATCATGAATTGTAAATATAGAACCTTTATCATCAGCACAGCACATCCAAAAATGTCTTTGTAAAATAAATCAAATTATATGAGTTAATTGATTCCAGGCAACATCAGCAACTGCAGGTGGAAACTGAATAACAGGATGTTTATTAATGAGGGACTATTAATCAAAATTGACAATATCAATTCCTGTTTCTTTTATTTGAATTCTACCTGCAAAATCCATGGACATACTCGCTGAATTTTAAAATAAAAATTTAAAAGTAAAGAAAATGCTGACACTTGGGATTTTAGCTTTAGATGTAGGGCTATTTGTTTAAACAGCGAAAGGATATCCTAAATCCAATTTGACAGGCAATGCCAAAGATGCCAGTGGTAATTAATTAGCACTTAATTTAGACCACAGAACAACAGGATATGGAATTGGTGCTCAGTGCCATTTCCCCTTAGGCTTCATCTCATGAGGGTCAGGAGTATGGCTGTTGCATTGAAGGTCAGTAAATAAATTGGGGGAACACATTGACACTGGACTTTTCATGATAGATATCCTTCACCCTTATTACTGCCTCTGGCTATGGCTGATGAGAAAAGGACTGCAATTGTTCTGTGAAGAATGCTGTGGTGCTACACAGGCTCGAGCTGAGCAAGGTAGTGCCCGAGCTCACGCGTCGCACAGCCGTGGTGCTGGCGGAGAGAGATGCCCCAACTTTGCATCTGGGCTGGAAATAAACTTCTGACTGCAGCACGGGAAGCTTCAGGAACTCTGACAGGCGAGAAAATTCACTTAAAAGCCGCCCTTAAGTTTGCTAGATTTGTGAGCTTAGCTTTAGATTAAGCATAATTAAAATCAAGGGAAGATTTTAAAGTGAGGTTAGAAACTAGGTCAGCAAGGGAAAAAACACATTTCCTTATTATCCCTCTTGTCTTTGTCTTAATAATATCTGGTACTCCTCCATAGAGCTAAAGGCTCTTAATAAAGGTGGATTAACGTTATTAGCAGCATTGTTTTCTGATGGGGACACCGAGGCTTTGATGTGCTTAATGATGGACAAACAGAAAAGGCAGAGCCACCAATTCTGCTGGTTTGTAACTCAGTGAAAGAAGCCACTTTCTGCAGCACACCCAAAGCAGAGGGGACATGGAAAGAACACAGGAGACCCTATGGAACCTTCTTCCCAGAGGCACATCAATTGTACTCTTTGATTCAGATTTACTGGTAGGAAAGATAGAAAGATTATGAGAGTCAGTATTATAATTTAATCCTCCTGCTCCCAGTAAAATTAGGGCATCTGTCAGCCTCCTCTATGCTCCCTCTTCCAGTAATCTCTACCTGTCTTTCAAAAGAGGGGCTCAGGTGGAAGGTGTCAGCGCTGCCACTGATACTCGGTGATGTTACAGCTTTCTGAAAACACTTCTTAAAAACTCTACCCTACTATCTTGAAGTGGTCCAGTTCCCCAAGTCCCACAGGGTGATGAACAGTGGAAACTTCAGCATTCACAGCAGGGTGGGTCTTGTTGCACATCCCAAATGTACTTCACCAGCACAGCTTTATCCCCTTGGTCCCCAGAAAGGCTGCCTGCACTGCTGCGTTAGGAAAACACTGACAGCAGTCTGTGCTCAGAAAATATATTTTGGAAGCCCCAGGTTAGCAGTTATTTTAACTTTCACTTCATCACACTCTTTGCAGTGTGTCTCTGGGCAGTGAGTGAAATTTTGATTACTCTGAAAGTCACTGACAAAAATCCCAGAGACTGGGAGCCAGAATGGAGTCAGAATTTCACCTCACATAAGCTTAACTTTTCTCATTTTGGATGATATCTACTTTTACTAAGTGGAATTACTGCTTTTGATTATGTTCCATCTATAACCTCTCGCAGCCTTCAATTATAGCCCTTTTGCACTACCGTAATCCAGCTGCCAGCAAATAACTCAGCCCTGGATATGACAGGTTTACTTTCTGACTTAGAGCCCAGAAGGGGCAATTGGCTGGAATTTCAACCTGGGATGTTGAGCTGTAGACAACCTGCTCAGAAATCTTTGCTGGTGAGCCTAGAGCTGCTCTTGAAAAGCTTAGTTTCACTAACAACACATTGTTCTTGTCCAGTGTCATGAATTAATTATTCAATTCTGTGAGACAACCAGTAATTTTTGACGTTGAAATCAGAGAATGTGGCAAAGAGTTCCATGAAAGTCAGAGAACAAACTCTTATTGAAGTTATCCTTTTCTGTGAGCTCTTGTATAATGGATTCACACAATCATTTAGTTTGGAAAAGTTCTTTAGGATCATCAAGTCCAACTGCTGTAATTACTCATTTTTTTTTCTTTTCAAGTCTTTTTTAAATAATGAAAAAAATAATATTCACCTATAAATTGCCTCCAATATAAAATCTTCTGGTTTTAGCCTGTATTTTCACCATCTTGTTGTTTAAAATGAGAGACTTTTTGCAGTGATCTATCCAAAAGAGATGATTTTGTGTGGGATCTGACCTCAACCAGGATTCCTACTCTTCCAGGTTCAGTTCTGAACTCTCCACAAGCTACAATTGCAATATATATGCACTGCATTTGTATCAGATTTGAAAGATGCTTTAACATGCCTCCCAGCATCACGATTGTTTCAGCCCTGATACTCAACACAAGTAGGATGAATGTAGCCTTTAAATGCACTAGTGAGTATGTGCCATGAGTCTTTGATTTCTTTAAACTTATTTACATTTTACTCGCCCTTGAGCAATGAATTTACTGTGTCAGCATTGTCTTTTCTACTTACACTTTGTCTGTCTTGTCCTCTCACCTTAGCTTGATGTTTATTTTTTTGTGCATATTTTTTTGTGTGTAGTCCATTGCACTAAATGCAGGAACTGCCTGGAGTGGAGGATTTTACGTATATTGTGTTTTTCTAAGAAGCACCCTTTGTAGTACTGCAAGTTCTGCAATATTTCCTGGATTTAAACTAGCTTTGAATTTTCTCATCAGTTTCTTCAAAGTCAAATACCCGTTCACACGTGTACTGGTCTCAGATGACTCTGGTCCAACTGCCTTAGATACTTTATAAAGTGTTCATTCTCTATACAGGCAGCCCTACCTCCCTTAGCAAATATGTTTCTTTCATCTTTGAAGCTTCAAGTGACCAGGTGTGCCAATGTCTCCTTCTGCCTGACCCTGATCAAAACCCACAGTTAGAAAAACTGTTGAGGAAACAGAGACGAGTCTCTTAGACCTCCAAACCCAAATCATGTCTGACAGAGACTGAAAGCTTTAGGAACAACAGGTGCAATCCTGCTGTTGATATCAAGGCATGGTCATCAGTCTTGGGACAGCTCCCTCACTAAGCAGCTTCCAGGACACCCTTTTGTAGGTGCTGCATAGATCTTCCCCTGCAGCAGAAAATGTCTAACTTGAAGTGAATGGTTGAAGATGGATTTACAAGCTGAGAAAGTGCTTCTTTAAGAATGAAATATTGTAGTTTCAGGATGCAAAGCTCTATAAAAGTAATTTAATACGAAGAGTAATGGAAACCTGTTAGTGTTTAACCCACAAAGGTTACCAAGTTCCTCCCCGTAGTGGTCAGGTGAGATCCAGAATGTGTTCACCAAGATTTGAAACTTTCCCTGAGTTAGAAATCTCTGGGTTGACTCTGAGTCCAGAGCAGCTGCAGTGGTTTCCATGGGTGGATGTTCTGAAGGAATGAAAACTCATTCTTCCAATGACACTTTTATGAGACCGTTATCCAGACATGGAAACAATCTGAGCTGTCTGAGGAGGTGGTATTAAGTTGCCTGCTACTACTGCTGCCACAGCCCTGTGAAAATCCTCTCTGTGCTGAGAGTTTGAACAAGACAAACTGATGTTCCCAGTAAACTTTACTTACTGGAAAGCTTCCATATGCTATAGGTTTGTACCATAGTACCATATGCTGTGTGCTGATAGTGTGTGGTGATTGCTGATAGTGTTTGGTGAAGGTCTGGCCTTGGAAACGTGGACAGCAATGACCTGGGAAGTGGGAACAGTTTCCAGACAGATGAAGTGCTATCCTGAGGTGGTTTGGGGAGGCTGAATTTAGTGCTGACACAGAGAACATGGTGCAGAACGTTTGAGCTTTTTCCATGAAGGTGCCTGGAGAGCTACAGGAGAGGGATTGGTGGGATGCGTAAAAAACACAGAACTTTTCTGAATTCTCTTTTCTTGGCTCATCTCCATGGCAAGGGGTCTTCATTTGGAAGACCACAGCAAACTCTGGAGAGGATGTGGCAGTGCTGTCTAACGTCAGGGCTGAGGTGGTGTAGAAACCTCCAGGCCTGGAGGAGGTAACTGGTTGCATCTTGTGGACCATGGGTGGAGGCAAGCTGGCTGGAGTGAGCTGCTTCACAGATTTATGATTTTATATTGCACCATAATGCGCAATGTACGAAAAGATAAATATTTTCCATTCAGCAACATCTTGCTGTATTTTCATCTAACTCTATAATTTTAATTATAAAGTGAACATAACCTGTATCAAATTATGATTTTGTTAACATATTGAATGAGGACAAGAAAAATAAATACCAGATTTTATACTGTACAGGCACATGAAGGTATAGTAAAAAAATCTGGTTTCCTTGACCACATTGTCATAATATGCATATATAACTGCTTATTGAATCCAGGCTGTGTAGACAACAGAAAGAACACTGGCTCCATACCATCACAATGCATGCCCACAACAAAGAGGAGGAAAGAACAGGCTCTTTCATTGTGTGTTTCTAAGTATTACCAACATAAGGGCTAAAAACTACCTCTGTCTGAAGTGTATCTATACAGCCATGCATAAGTTATTAACTGGGCTCCCTC